CATGTATTCTGCATAGATAAATATATATGTAGCAAGATAGGTATTCTGGAAGAATTGCGCGTGAACTGGAGGCAAACTTCCAAATTCCAAAATGGCGAAAATAATAAAAGTAAAAAATGGGGCCACAAGGTGCAATTATCGTTTATCGATACTTTTCTTTTTACACTTACTTACCTACTACATTTGAATACAAGTAATTTTGATTTATGATTTGATAACAATCAACAAGTTATTGATTGTTAAAAAAAAGTTTATTTTTGTACAATTGAACTTACGATACTACCGATTTGTGACTTCCTGGGAAACGGCTAAGTAAGTATGACTTTTTTAATTGGTTGGTTTTATGGGTTTTTTATTATGTTAAAATAATTTATTATCTCATAATATACAAGAACACACTTAAGCAAAAAAAGCTTTAAAGTTTAGCTTTAAATACTTAGGTCGTAGTATTTTTAGAATTATCATAACAACACGATAATTCTAAAAAAACCATACCCTAAGTGTTTAAAGCTAAAATTTTTTTTGTTTATCGATTATTACTCCCTTTGAAACAATCTAATCGTCGATAACAGGTGTCCTACTCTACGACAAAGACGCGCGCGCACTTGCGCCATCGCCTTTCGGCGGCTCTTTACGGCGGCTCTTCACGTTGGCCAACACACTGGCGAATGTGTTGGCCGCCCACAACGATGGCCATCGTGTAGAGCGGGTGTTTAAGCTACGTTGGTATGTATTGGAACGATGGCCCACAAATTGGCGCGAGATCCGTCTGGTGTCGGTTTTTTACAAAAGATCAAAGGGTTGTGGCAGAGTATTGGCCGCCGCGTCCACACGTTGGGCGCACTTTCAGTTTGCTACGAGCTCCCAGAGTGAATGCACGCACCTGATTTAAATTTTATATGCACGCATCGTAACTAGTGTCTACATAACGGCAGTAACAATGACCAATGAAAAAACTTTTCCCTTTATAGAGCCCTACCAAGCAGAAAATTGTTTGTAAAACACAAGTCTTTTTAAAAAAAATGTTATTATACACTAGGATTTTCTCCTGTATCGTGGAGGCAGTTTATAAACATAAATTGCATAAGGACAAACATCCAGACCCGGAGAAATTATGTGTTATACAAATACTTGTTCCGTGCGGTATTCGAACCCGCGGCCCCCAGGGCAGCAACTCATTGTTAAGCCACTACACCACGGAGCCGTCAAGAAATAAAATTTCTTTTTTCCATTTCTTTTTGATCACTCTTATCTTATACACATTCACGTTGTCGTGATTAATTGTGTATTAATTTATTTATTGATGTATTAATTGATTTATTAAATATCTTAAAATCTATAATATATAATATATATTAAAATCAAATTAAAAAGTAGGATACTAAAATCATGTTTTTACTGTTTTTATTATTCCCTATTAGTTACTTTATTTCGTTAATAATACTGTAATTTTTAGCTATGGAAGAGCGAAGTCACCTGTTACAGGCATTATTTTGCTTACTAGGTGACCTCGATCACTGATCGTATAATGTAACTTTAATGTTTGACGAAATAAATTATTTATTATTATTATTAAGTTTTATTTTATAATTATATAATAAGAATAACCCTTTTTAAAAAGGTTTTGTTTAATAAAATTTTACAACAGTTTCATAGACAGGCTTCGAATATTTTCCAGGCCTTAGTTGTAAAAGTGTTAATTATACCTATGCCTAGGTGTGTTAATGTTTATATAGTTTACTTATCTGTATAACGTTAGTGTATAATAAAGAAATATTAAAAATGTATATTAAAAATATTAAATATTAAAAATAGTGAAAATTAAATAAAAAAATAGTGGTATGCTGTGAATAAATAAACCGCAGCAGCCGTTAGAGCATCAATAATCATTTTAATAAATTCGTCCGCAGATTGGCCTGAACCAAAGCAAACTGAACGACCTTCCAACGTGTGGACGCGATCACAAATTCTCGGCCAATATCTCTGCCAACACGTTCGTCAGATCGTCAGAGTGTTGGCCAACGTGAAGAGCTGCCGTTTGAAGAACGCCGCGTACCTCGTGCCGCTTGTTTATGGACGCCGCCAAAAGACACCGCTGTCGATACGTCGCAATAGTTTGCACTGCGTGGCAACGTCGCTTTTTAATGTTTAAGGATTCAAGTTCATGGAATCATTGACTTAGTGACCCAATTCTATAGAGAGTTCAAATTTGCTTAAAATTAAAACTCTACTTTTTGACCTAATTACTGGACTGATTACGTTCATTTTTTGTATATCGTCAGCAAAAGTGATAACAAGTATGTGGTTTAATTTATTGCATATATGTGGGACCCCATTCTGTATATGAGACACCACATTCACAATCAAGCTTGTACACTCCTGAATCTTGTAGAGGAATATTGCACTTGACGGATGGTAAGAACTGACTATAATCTTCTTCGGCGGCTTGAAGAATGTTCTAATAGAAGCTCGCTTCAAGATGTAGCCAATTTTGTCTGTGCACCTCTGATATATGGCAGTACAGCAGACACACGCTCGACTGTGGCAGGCATCAGTCCGTCACTGTGACGTAGGCGCGGGACCCGAAGTTTGTTGTCGTGCAGAACCTGCTTGACGTGCTAAAGCTCGGCAGCCAGGTGTTTGCTGTCACAGATCCCTCGTGGTTTCTGAAACAAAGATTGGTGAAAAAAAAATTCACCCAATTGACATTTAACAAATTTGGTTTTAGTAAGTAAATTTTTAAGCTTATCCTTGCATTTAATGCATTTTTAACGATGGTGAAATTATATTCAAGCAAGGTGCAGTTTTTTTGTACTGTAAGAAGTACCCAATTTTAATTATTTCAAGTAATATCGACGTTATAAGCTAAACGACTTTAATTATTTTTTATTTCTAAATTACACGGTTGTAGTTTAAATTACTATTATATATTTTTGAGATGTGCTATTTAAAATACGTCTGCCAGTATTTTTTTTTTATATATATACTCCAAATTCATAGGTTGGGGGGAGGGTAGTGGTCAGAAAACCGCCGCCGGTCAAGTTTCAAGCCCGCCAAAACTCGACTATTTATCTATGGACTATCAACTAGGGATGTCAATGTAGCAGAAACATCGATCATGACATCGATGTTCGATGTTTAGCCTACTCAATACATCGATGTTGACCATTAGAATAGAATAGAATATTTTTTATTCAATATTGCTTATTACGTAATTCTTATTGAAAGTCATTTTTTATTTACCGCTGGTTCGGAAAATACCTCTGTCCTGGGAAGAATCAGCAAGAAACCAAGCGGGACTTTTTTTTTCAAATATATTTCACTTAACAATAATTTCGTTTATATAATTTTTAAATGATTTATCATAGAACCAGCATGGTGGCGATCACCTTATTCCCAGGGGTTATTTTCATTCATGTATTCCTTGATATTATAATAACCCTTTTTGTACAGTCTTTCTTTAATAAAACTTTTAAACTTGTTTATTGACAAACTTTAAGTATGTTCTGTGAATTTGTTGTAAAAGCGTATACATTGCCCTATAAATGAATTACTGATTCTGTGGAGTCTAGTAACGTAAGAGTTTGTTCCTAGTGTTTAAAGTATGTACATCCTTATTCTTATTAAAGCTATTTTTATTTTTATGTACATACATTACATTTTCATAAATATATTGCGATGCCAAAGTTAATATGTTTATTTCTTTAAATTTTTGTCTGAGGTACTCTTTACAATTTAGGTTATAAATCGCCCGAACGGCTCTCTTTTCCAAAACAAATATAGCTTCAATATCAGTCGCATTACTCCATAGCAAAATTCCATTAGACATTACGCTATGAAAGTAACTAAAATACACTAATCTAGCTTTCTCAACATCTGTGAGACTTCTAATCTTTCTTTGAGCATATGCTGCAGAACTAAGTCTGCTTGCTAATTTAGATATAGATAGCCCCATTGAAGTTTCGCGTCAATAGTAATACCGAGAAAAACAGTGGTATCCACAAGACTCAACTCCTCCCCATTTAAGAGCACATTGGTTTTCGAATGTTTTACATTAGGTATTGTAAATTAATACATTTTGTCTTATTGCCGTTTAAGAGCAAATTGTTGGCGTTAAACCAATGTACTAGTTTCGATAGAGCATTATTTACATCGTCATATTTAATTAACTGCCGTTGGAGTTTGAAAATTAAAGAGGTATCGTCAGCAAATAATATTATATCGTGATTGTCCCCTACAAAATAAGGTAAGTCATTAATATAGATTAAAAAACAGGAATGGGCCAAGAATCGAGCCCTGAGGAACGCCCATTGATACTACCGATCCGGAGGAACCTTTACCATTGATTAAGACTTTTTGAATTCTGTTATTTACATATGAAGTAATAAGCCTAAGCGCCAAATTTTTTACACCATAATGTTGTAGTTACCTGATTAATGTCTCATGATGAACACTATCGAAAGCCTAGGAAAGATCACAGAAAATACCTAAGGCATCTTGTGAATTCTCCCAGGCATTAAAAATATATTTAATAAGCTCAGCACCGGCGTCAGACGTCGAGCGACCCCTTGTAAAACCAAATTGGTTTTTATGAAGTAATTTATTTGTGTTAAAAAAATTACAACAGGTGACAACTGTGACATTACAGGTGACACTTGACAAGTAAGTTAGACACGCCATAACGATATTTTTTAGGTTAGCGATGCGTTCAGGAATTCAGAATTATTCAAAATTTTAAATCTTTAGAGATGTACGATTTAGTTGATATTGATTTCGCGAGTTCGCATTGTCCGCAAGTTACCAATAGTCGATTATGGGTTCATTGACATCGATGTTTCGATGTTTGACATGTGTCAACATCGATGTTAAATCGTACATCCCTACGTACAACAACAAAATGACACGGACAGGTAAACGGCGACAGGTGATGTGATGTTTACTAATTTTAAAATTGCTAAGAACATTAACTATTATAAGCGCGATATTTCTATGAATAAACAATGTATTTATTTGAAATAAAAGAACATGTTGCAAATTTAGCCGTTGTGACAACTATCTTGCAATTTTTGTCTGGAATGTATGTATATTAATTTTTAGTCTTACTCTTTAATCGTTTTGAAGTAGGTAACCAACTCTGCTTTTTGTGTATAAAAATAAATTATTAAGTTACATATTATTTTAGCCTTGTCTGCAAGCAATATGTGTATAATCGAACTACTGCAGAAGCATCACCATTCCCATTCATAGCCGGCGTTTTATCGTAAGTTATCGTTACGCCATTGAATTTTATCGTTTTAATGTTTTTGTAATACATATTTTTTTAATTACAGCTCTGGTATTTGGCTTTTGTATGGATTGACAAAACACAATGATAAAATAGTTATGGTAAACACAATTGGTGTTACATTAATGGTTTCTTATACAGTAGTATTCTACATTTATACATTTAAAAAGTTGATGGTTTTACGACAAATTGCTTTTACCGTTGCATTATTTATTTTTATGTTTGGATATGTTTCTGTGGAAGAAGATAACGAGGTTCTTCTATCAAGACTTGGTAAGTGATATTGTTTATTTTTTTGTGTTCTGCATGTCAAGTAATACATAAACTATTTTATTTTATTTGTATTTGGGAGTTCAATTAATTCAATTAATTACATTATGTTTATTTTCAGGTTTGTTAGCCTGTTCTCTTACTCTTATAACAGTTGCTGCACCCATGAGCAAATTATTATATGTGTTTAAAGTAAAATGCACTGAATGTTTACCTTTTCCTATGATACTGATGTCATTTTTTGTATCAGCATTTTGGTTTTTATATGGGCTAATAGATGAGGACATATTTATCACGGTATTGAATTTATTAATATTTAGTTTTCAAATAATATATAAAAGCCATCATTAATCTAAATTTCAAGATATTGTTATTATAATCTTTACTTAAAAGTTACTACAAAATATATTCCTGAGATATCAAGTTTTCGATAATCTACACTCTACATATATATTTTTAGCTTATTAAGCAATCATAGTATCTGACAATAACAATGTTTCTTTATTTTTTTACAGATACCTAATTCAATTGGAGCAATATTAGCGGTCATCCAATTATCACTTTTTGCTATTTTTCCTAGTACTCCTCATTCATCTCTACCTTATAAAAGTACCATAGCATAATTAACATTTTTTTTAAATCATTCTCATGTAATGATCCTCAAGTAAGGAGTAAATTATAAGTTTAAAATCTACAATTAAGTATTTAAAACGTGAAAGTAAAAAAGGAATTCTTTCTGATTTTTAATAATCAAATGGTGAATTTTGTTAATATTTCATTGAAGTACTTACTGTATTTAGTTCAAAAATCAAACCATTGGTTTACTTGTAACAATGCTGTATTTATGTTTGTTTTCTATTAAATGAATGAAATGCAATCAATGTGATTGAATATTGTAATTTTGAAATGAGTACAACTTGTCATCAACCATAAAAGGTTTTGTCATTCATTGGGTGACACTTTGTGGTAGTGGATTCTCTGACAGGTAAACAGGAAATAGGCAGCAGCATCTTCCTAATTACAACTCAAAAGTATAAAAGATGCAGTTGCAATCATAGATTTAGTAGAAACTGACGTGTTGCAATTATGGGAATTGCAATTTCTCCAAACACAATTTCAAATCTTGCAATTTTGGATTATGCAATTTAATAGGCTGTAATGATGATGATGATGACACTTGTGCATGAAATGAATAATTTGAGTTTACTTATTTATACCACATATTCATTAACTTGCTTTTGTGTATGTCTGCTCGGGAAATTTAGTTATTGATTTTAAACTAAGTTCCCAACGACCTAGTCTGCTAGTAGTAGGCCTAACTTGAAATTTTTAACTTAGCTCAAAGTTGGATAACAATATAAAAATATGAAAAACAGAACTTTGTACTTTTTAGTCCTTTTTAAAAATGTGATAAACAAATTTATATAAACATGTTATATTAAAGACCTCTATAATCTATAAGTATAGGAGCGTAACCTTTTTTGTCTACAAATTGTTATTCAGTTTATTAATAGAATCAGGTGTTACTTTGCGGAAGTCCATTATATTAAATTTGACAAAAAATTGCGGATTACAAATTAGCAGATGTACGCAAAGTAATTTTTTGTCAAATTTGGTTATTCAGTTTGTCAAAGGATATGAAACATATACATTTTCTAGTACTTTGATAGATAAATAATTATTTATTTTCGATATTTTTAAATTGTTATAGGTAACAAAAGTATTTATGCTTTTATTTTTTAACACAAAACAAAACTTTCGGTAATAATCTCAGTTTTTGTTAATAGGCTGAAGAAGGACATATTCATAAAAATATTAATAAGTTAGACTTATTTAAATATTGCTAATAAATGTTGTAAGTTCCCTAGGGTAAACATATTTTTGTATACCTAATAATAAACAATTTGTTATTATTAAAGTAATAATGTTATTTGAGTGAGATGTAGAATTTAAGTAAATTATTTTATTATAATAACCTCCAATGAGTAAATTTATATGGAAACTAAATAAAAATTGAAAATATCTCTTGCATTGTTTTATTTTTTTACAAACACAATATGATCGATCATTTGGATTTACCACACAGTTTCCTCTAGTGTTATAAGCTGATATAGTTTCTGTTGGTTCCAATATCTTTATTTCATTACCATCTATCAATATGTTCGCTTCGAATGCCACATCACCTGGCGACATCATAAATGCTATAATGTGAACTTCTTTCGTTCCGTCTGAATAGAAATGATGTCTTAATACTGTTTTTAATGTCAATTTTGCACAATCCATACATCGCGTTGTTTTTATTGTTTGGGTTCTGTTTTGTATATACGTCACCGCTAGTTTTAGACTCTGTTGTGAATTGTTCTCTTTTCCGTTTGCCTCGGCCATGTTGTGACAGCTGCACCATTTGTCATTGACCCCAGCATCAGAGCATGTTCTATATATTGTTTTTTCGACAAATAAACTAGAACACTGCGGGCATGCTTCTGAAGGTATCTCTTGAATGGAATCTTTTGACAACTTCAGTATATGCCACATCGTTAAATGCAGATCGTAGGTTGTGATTAACCGATACTGATTTATCTTTATATTATGATTTTCTTCGAAATAAGTTTCTTGAAACGCAAATGGAACCCACATGAATAACATCGGTAATCGTTCTTCGTAATAAGACTCTATTGGTAGTCTCATTTCACCGTATCTTATACCATGATCACTTAAGAATACAATGAAAGTATTGTTTAATGCGCCCGTGTGTTCGAGTTTTTCTAAGAACATTAACATGTCATTATCAAGAAGCGCTGGCACATTGTCAGTATTGTGACTGAAGGAGTTAAGCCAGAACATGCCAAAGAAGTTTTCATTTATGTACGCTCTCGTAAAATCTAAAGCATAGTCTAGTAAATGTATTGCTGAAGGTTTTTTCGCAGTACATATGTAGTTTCCACTTTTTTTTTCTCCCGTTAGAAAAAATGGTCGTGCGTAGTGGTTTGTGGGTGGAATTTTAAATCCCTTATATCTGGAAAATGTATCGGGTAGCCTCAAATAATCTTCACCATAAGCAGTAAAATAGCCTGCATCCTTGTATTTACTCCATATCATCAATTCGTTACACTCGTTCATACCTTTTGCGCAAGCTTTGTAAATTGTAGGCATTTTCTTTCCAGTTAAAAGAGACATTATGTTTGGGAACGTGTTAAAACCTACCTGAAAAGTTATAAAAGCATATCAGATAATTTAAACTATTTTTGCAATAATATTGAAAGACTATAATATAATCATGATCATCAACCTCTGCACAACATAGGTCTACCGCATGTTGTTGTGTGTTGATGCCGTGCAGTGGCGGCGTAAGAGAGTCCACTATCCCGTGTCGTCAAGTAGGTGTCGTAAGGTGACAGAGGGATATGAAAATTAAACGAGGTAAGTAGCAGCATCTTTTTGATAACAACTGAAAATAATAAAAAACTGCGGTTTCTAACCCGCGTGCCAGGCGTGACAACTGCAGCAAATATCCCCTCTACACTGCACACACAAGGATTGGATGATATGATAGCTCCTATATTTTAAGCGAAAAACCTTTCTGCAACATTGTATTAACTTAGGGTTCTTTTTTTTATCTATTTCTGTTGTCAAGCTGTAGCGCCTTCACTGTTGTGTTCCGGTTTGAATGGTATGTTGAGCCACTACAGTTTGGCAGGCTGTGAGGCATTCCATTATTAGCCCTTAGAAATGGCAATGCACCTATAGTCTTCTTCGAAGTTGGTCCCAGGCGTCCATGGGCTGTAGTAAACACTAACCAGCAAGAGGATTGCTTACCTATCTACTCGTTGGTCATTTCCTTTAATAAAGTTAACATTAAAAATATTAAAAGATCGTCTTTGTGTGCGAAGTAATTTTAAGATGGTATAAAGGAAAAGTAAAAGAGCTAAGTGTTGTAGCCTTAAGTCAGCTTTCTAAAAATAGCTGATATCAATTCAATTCTTGACCTGATGGATCTATAATTCCCACATTAATTTGTCAAGGATTTTCCACGTTACGGGCACAAAATCTAGTACGTAGGATTAAGAAGATACATAGGTTAAGTGTCTTTTTTGATAATTGACGAAATACACTATACTTTCGGCGAGCTAAAATCGTGGTAGAAAATATTCTTTCAACATCTTCTGATATTAAAAAAAGATGGTAAGATATTAAGTAAAAGTTAACGATACTTTTTTATTCAGAGAATAAAATACATTAGTATGTGCTAGAGCCATGCTACAGCTATATCATGGTTGTAGCACGAATAGGTCGGCTCGACCGGGGTAGGACCACGTTCTTACAGAATACTAGCGTAAAATAGCAGCTTAAAGTTGCTGTGTTTCGTATGGTGAGTGTAGCGAACCGGAGACCCTTTTTACTGGAAACGAGGTATTCTATCTTAGTCCTCACGGGTGACAACGCATTCTGCATCTTGATTCGTAATCGAAGATAGATGTAGATGTCTATGGGCCACAGCAACCACTTACCATCAGGTGAAATTTGTGCTCGTTTGTCACCCTTATCCTATAAAAAAACAAGTATTGAATTTCATTTGTGCAGTTCCCCGCTGCACCTGTTGAGAAATAGGGATCATTAATAGTTATATACGTGATATCTGCAAGAGTATAAACGCTTAGGTATTTAGTAAAATACATGAACATATAAAAATATTTAAAAAATTAACGAAAGTGAGGAATCTTGGTTCACATAGTTTTCTTACCTTTTGATATCCTCTGAAATCTAGCCACTTATGTTTTTGGAAATATTCTACAGTGTGTGGCATAGTACTATACACTCTTGCTCTCGACATCGTATCCATTCCAACTATCAATACATTCCAAGACTTTTTATCATTTGTGATAACTTTAGAAGATGTGTCTAACTTCTTAAGTAATAAATAGGTATCTTCATAAATTACGGGCTTTGTTTTCCCTTCGATTAGACTACAATATACGGATATTATTTCCTGTTCCAGCTTTATTATAGAGCCATTTTGAAAAATGTTGCACGGTGTAAATCTGAAAAGTTAATTAAGTATATTTAAAAAAAAAAAGAATAGTAAAGAACTCCCCAAAAATGTAGCAAATAGACCTGTACATATGAAATCGATTCGTACTAAAGTCCTAAGAGGTATACATCACAACATCATACCTTAAGTTTTTAAATAAATTTGATATAGTAGATCTTATTTTTTAAATAAGATAATGTATAAAATATATGTACATATATATTTATGCACTTTCATCGTTTATAAACATAAGATATTATACCTAAAGGTTTTGTTTCTAGTTTTCGTATTATTTGGAGTGTGTGCCATATGAAAAGTTTCTTAAAATAATTATCAGGTAAACCACTTTTAGCTATTTACTTTTCGTAATACCAAAATTAAAGTAGTTAGTAACGCTTGCAAGAGTGAAACCCACTGAAACTTTTTTAACTATTGCAAGCCGTTACAGAATACATTCAATTATAATATTATTTAATACGTAAGTACGAATTACAGTTATTAAATATGTTAAAATTACCTACAAACAGTGAACTGCTGGTTAATAGACGGGGTCCTGGTGACCAATTGATAGTGGAAAATACATTTAAAAATTCTGAATTCAAACAGACTGTTGATGTGAGTAATGAGTATCGACTCTATGTTTGCTGACTCACCTGCTTTGTTGCGATGCTATGCAATGCCAAATGGCACATTCTGGGAAAGGCTTATGTACGCTAGTGGTCTTAAAAAGGTTGCTGTTGTTGCTTTTGTTGATGATGATCATGATAATAATTAAGAAAATATTACCCGTTACAGCCTTTTAAAGTCTACTGCTGATACCTCCCACAGATTGCCGCAGAGGGGGAATATTTGCCGCTGCCACGCTTGGCAAGCGTTTTTGCAAGGTTTATTTTTTTGTTTTTAGTCGATAATATCTATACGTGATAGAGCCATGCTGCAGATATATTAGTAGTATAGTTGTAGCACGAATGGTTCGGTACCAGCACCCCTGGTAATGGAGAATCCTTCACTAAGTATTCACGGTCAAGCTACCCCCTTCTTCCTGAGCGCAGGTGCTCAGGCTGCCTCGCGTATTTGGGGGCGGGGGGGGGGGGGCGGTTTACTAACACGGGGCAAACAGAGCGATAAACCCATGGTCACCATTGCCACGCCATCCGTGGACTTCTGCAACATCAGGAGACTTCACTCGAACCTTAACGCCGTCCACTACCATATAGTGGTTTTTCATAAGTGGTAGAGCCATGCTGCAGCTATATTAATAGTATAGTTGTAACACGAATGGGTCGGCTCCACCGGGGAAGGACCACGCTCTCACAGAATACCAGCGTAAAATAGCAGCTTAATGCTGCTATTTCGTATGGTTTGTGTAGAGAACCGGACACCGTTTTTACTGGAAAAGAGGCATTCTATTTTAGTCTTCACGGCTAACAACGCATCTGCATTTTAATTCGCAAACGAAGATAGACGTAGATGTCTATGGGCCGCAGCAACCACTTCCCATCAGGTGGACTGTGTGCTCGTTTGTCACCCTATCCTAAAAAAATAGGAGGACGCTGCTGAACATCTGATTTGTTTCCTTATATCGCCTCTTACATCACCCACGGGATGACATGGGGTACTTAGTGGATATTCTTACACCGCCACAACATGGTACAAGAAAATATTGTGTAAACAATAATTGTGTTTAGTACGTACTTTATTTGCGTATCCTCTTTACCAGGCACTGTTGATCTGGAAGCAAATTTGTAGCAACAACTAAAACGCTTTCCTTTGCTGTACAGATACATTGACTTTTGTTGTATATTAAATCTTACTTTATCATTTTCTATTCTATCCACGATTATGGCACGAAGACCGCAAGTTTTATTTTCATATAAAGCTTCTTTAAATTTCAATGTTTTTGAATAATTTTGTATTACGCACCCAGGCGTGTCTAGTAATAGATCTTCTGTAACTAAAAGGGAATTTTAAAATTAATTTTTAACTTTAAAGAAGTATCTGGGATAGCAGTTTCCTCAGTTATCCAATTTCCTCTAATTAGATGGCTGATATAATGACCATCTGATGAAACTACCTTTTTTGCTTTATTCAACGTAAAAGACAAAAAAGGAGGAAAAATTTAAATCATATGTTTATTTTATAAATGTTTCGTATTTCTTAATCGTGGACGTCCATCTTGACGTACATTCACTTCATCACTGAGCATACTTTCTTTATACTACTTTTGGTATTGGCAGTACTAATTTCTAAAGGGTAGAAACGAATGTGTGCCCTAGGCTCATAGAGCATCCTTCCAAACGGGTTCCCACCTTGTGAATAGCCGGTGAGACAAAGAAGAACCTCTTGCCTAGCCCGAGGTGGCGGCCGAAACTTGGTTGGCGGCGGAGGCAAAGACCAGATCCGCCGCTGGGGTTGGGTGTTACCGTGGGTGCTATCGAGCGCTCGATTTTCCTGGCCTCATGGCCTCCGCGTATCGGACCCGTTACGCAGGTAGAGTTAGAGTCTATGGAAGAAGGCGATCCTTGTGTTCCTGATGCGCGTTGCCTGAGATGAAGAATAGGTAGGAGAAGTCCTCCCCGAGGAGGGGCTGCCACGGGGCGGCTAGCGCTGTGTGCGAAAACGTTCCCGTGGCCCTGCCAATATGCGGCGAGGGTGGAGCACCGTGGTGTTTTAGTCGGTGCGAGGCAGACATAACCCGTCCTTGTCCCCGCGTGGCGGGTATTCGTGAAAATTTCCCCACTACTGACAACGCATCTGCATTTTGATTCGTAAACGAGGATAGATGTAGATGTCTATGGGCCACAGCAACCACTTACCATCAAGTGGACTGAGTGCTCGTTTGTCACCCTGATATATTTTATTCTAGCTTCTAGTTGCTAAGTTTTATGACTGTTCTAGGTGGTAGGACTCCTTTTCTGCCTAAGACCCCGTTTGGGTAGTTACCATCCTCTTATTTATTTCTGCCGCCAAATACCAGTGCTCTCAATGCTTTGTTCCAGTTTGAAGGATGTAGAGAGACAGTATAATTATTACAAGCGGTGAGGCATTCCATCTTAGTCTTCAGAGGTGAGGTGACAACACATCTATAGCTTTCCTTGTATGAAGTGTGGCGGCGCTATCGTCACGCCACATGCGAAACACATCGAAGCCTAAATCGCACCAACAAAGTTCCGAAGTTAAAGCAACATATATAGAATAGCTCCGAACTACCAATCGGAGCGTTGGCCACTCCCCGGGCAGAACACCTTGCCCGGCCGGAGATCTCCCCTTTTCCTTCCACCCGCCACAGAAGTTTGCAGGTGAGTTGTAGGTTCGATTCTCAATTCAGCTTTATAAAAGAAAAAAAAAATTGTACATCTTTTGTAAATCATCATTCTTTTGTCATCATGGTCATTCTAATCAGTAAATCACGCACTCGTCAATTATGAAATAATATTCCTAAATGATGATTATTTTATAATTGAAAATTGAAAATTAATAATGCAACTTATTAATTTTACAAAATAAAAGACTACTTTTATAATGCTTATACCATTTAAATCATAAAATATAAATAATCAAAACAGTTATTTACCGTTAGGCAGGCTGTTGGTAGTGCTAGTTAGAAACATCGACTTTTCGACTGCGCGAAAATTCATTAAACTAAACATATTATAATAAATAAAGAAAATGAGAAATCCCATAATCAATGCTGTAGTTGTAACAGTCTTGTGTAGGTTCATTATGCACACTAGGAATTTTCATCCGGCAAGGAACTGAAACGAAAATATATTATTGATTATTATTATTTATATATATTTTCCTGTATTGCATGTTATTAGTATAATTAATACGTGTATGTAATTAGTACGTTCTTTACGTGGTAGAGCCATGCTGCAGCTATGTTATGGTTGTAGCACGAATGGGTCCGCTCGACCGGGGAAGGACCACGCTCTCACAGAATAGCAGCCTAGAATAGCAGCGTAACGCTGCTGTGTTTCGTATGGTGAGTGTAGAGAACCGGAGACCCTTTTTACTGGAAACGAGGCATTCCATCTTAGTCCTCACGGGTGACAATGCATCTGCATTTTGATTCGTAATCGAAGATAGATGTAATTGTTTATGGGCCACAGCAACCACTTACCATCAGGTGGACTGTGTGCTCGTTTGTCACCCTTATCCTATAAAAAATATATGACCGCCTACCAGATGGCCAAGTCGCCGGAGTACGTGGCAACTAAGCCGCCCGAGCGGTCTAGGTCTTTTTTATAGGAGATGGGGCAAACGAGCATACGGCTCACCTGATGGTAAGTGACTACCGCCGCTCATGAAGAACTGCAACACCGGGGGAATTGAAGGTGCGTTGCCGGCCTTTTAGAAAGGAGTAAGCTCTTTTCTTGAAGGGCCCTAAGTCGTATCGGTCCGGAAAAATCGCTGGTGGCAAGCTATTCCATAGAGACAGTACACGGAAAAAAAATTCTAGTGTAAACGTACAGTGGTGGAATGCCAAGCATCCAGATGGTGTGGATGGTATCGGGAATTTTGCCGCGATGTGCGTTGGTAAAATTTGTGAATGGTGAATTAATCCGAACAATTCCTCAGAACACTCCCCGTGGTAATGAAATGAATGCGAAAGAAAATGCAAAGGGATCTCTTCGCAGCGCCAGTAAATCGAGCCGATCGGAAAGGACTCGGTCGTTGAAGATTCGAGCCGCTCTGCGCTGGATACGGTCAAGTGGAAGGAGCTGGCACTGGGGAGCCCCAGTCAAGAGATGGGAACAGTATTCCATGTAAGGCCGAACCTGCGCCTTGTAAAGTTGCCGGCGGTGTGCCAACATGAAATACTGTCCCGCTCTACTGAGCACGCCAAGCTTTTTAGAGGCCAATTTTGCCTTCTCTTCTGAGTGACCACGAAGCTGTACGTTACTCGATATGTCGACGCCGAGGATTACGATACTGGCTGAGACAACAAGGGGAGTGCCTTGAAACTGAGGAGATACGACAAAGGGGTACTCTTTAGCGGTAAACGCGCAAAATTGTGTCTTCTGTGGACTGAACTGAACTAGATTTAATTGCCCCCAATGCGACACTTTGTTTACCAAAGCCTCGACTTCAGACACAAGTTTGTGCCAGTATTCGGCGACGTTTTCCCGAGAAATATTAGCACGGCCGGTGTATAGGTTTCCAACATATCATTGATATGCAGCAGAAACAGCTTTGGTGGTAATCGGAGCATGCACCATCTACTACAACCTTGATGCTCCGATCAGCTAGAAAACTGGTGATCCAATGACACAATTGCTCTGGAAGCCCATAGGAAGGAAGCTTCGAAAGAAGTGCTTTGTGCCAGACTCGATCGCCTGCGCCCATCTATGTGTTAGTTAAACAAGAAGATCACTAGCTGAGTGACCCCGACGGAAACCGTACTGGCGGTCACTAATCAGTTAGTGCTCCTCAAGGTACCGCATGAGCTGCTAGTTAATAATGGACTCCATTACTTTCGAGAACAAAGAGGTGATGGCGATAGGCCTGTAGTTGGACGGATCAGAGCGGTTACCATTTTTAGGGATCGGGTGCACGAAAGCTGTCTTCCATGAATTCGGGACAGTACCTAGGGAGTAGGAGCACCGGAAAAGACGCGTTAGAACCGGTGCCAAGTCTGGAGCGCACGTCCTCAGCACAATTAGCGGGACTCCGTCAGGCCCACTCGACTTGTGGATGTCTAGGGGGAGGTGTGCTTTGTGTACGGAGCACTGTGTGCATATCAGGCATAGAGCACTCACACTGCGGGATGGTCGGCGGTGTGTTCTCCCCTTCATCGAGAGTCGAGTTGGACGTAAAAGGGGAGCCCAAAAAGGTCGGCTTTCTCAGTTGCAGGAAAGGTAGTGATGGCTTACAGAAATTCCCTTGAACAGCCTTGGCAAGAGACCAGAATGCACAGGTTCCCGAAGGAAGGCGAACTAATTTCTCGCCAATTCTGCTAATGTGCTCATATTTTGCCTTGGCAATAACTCTTTTGAAGGAGGTGGATGTGAAGTTATACTTCTTTTTAAGCATGCTGGTGTTTGCATCCCGAGCCGCTGAAGCCTCAGCCCAAGCGAGATAACACTCCTGCTTACTGCGTAATGCAGTCTTACAGGAGCGACGAAACCAAGGCTGAGATATGGTCCGATGGTTATCACAGATGATGAAATGAATAGTTCCATTCCCTGATGCACCACATCAGTGACAGAGTCAGGAACAGCGCTGAGGACATCCAGCAAAAAGCAAACTCGCTTCCATGGGTAGTATGCAAAGAAAGACCGCATTCCGTCCCAATCCGCCTGCCTGTAATGCCAAATACGGCGGCAGCCTGCAGAACGCAACCGCAAGGGGAGCGTGAGTGGTACCACACTCCGGATCAGACAATCGTCCGAAGAGCCGAGAGGGGCATCGACGGAAACTTGATATCCGTCCGGATGAGAGGTCAGCAGAAGGTCTAACAGGAAAGGTGTATGATCCTCCACATCTGGAATCCGCGTAGGCGAAGTAACCAGTTGTGTCAGACCATATATCAAGGCAAAGTCATAAACAGATCTCCCTGTATGATCGGTTAAACGTGAACGGAGCCATTCGGCGTGGTGGGCGTTAAAATCGCTAAGTATCATGATTTCTACGGATGGGATTTGTTGTAGCAAGAAATCTGTAGCCATTTTGACGTGGTCGATGAGTCGGTCTGTGTCGGCATTACCGCTTATGGGACCTATACAGGCACCTGTAGACGCAGGGATGGTCGTCGCTATCTACGCACAGCCAAAGGATGAACAGTTCCGTACCTTAAAGATTGCTGAGGCGCCGAGAACAGATATCCTCTCTGACGTATACGAAAATTTCTAGCCCGGGGCACAAAGAAGTGTTCTAATTTGTACCCTGGGTAGGACAGGTATGAAGTATCAGCC